TTATGTCAACAGTCAGCAGAGAGGCCCTTGTCCCCTGGGGCACCACCATGACGTAGACCCCGCTGGGTGCTGGCCTAGGGCTGGCCATGCTGGTGGCAATCTGCGCTTTCTGGGAGCTGGACATTCACGATTTCACGTGACCCTGATGACCACCCTGTAGAGACTCCAGGTGGCTGCTGTTTGCCCAAGCGCCAAGTGAGGAAACGGGCACTTTGTTCAAGTACCTCTGGACTCTGTCCACCTGGGAAAGCTAGCACGAGTGAGGCAGGCGCAGGTACCCCTCTGCCCCATCTCATTTCATCACCTCTTCCACTGCTCCAACCGAGCTAGCAAAGACCACATGCCACAGGCTTTTCCAAAAATACGGCTTTTTATTGTCTCGGATGCAAATATAGTCTTGGATGCATTGTAGTGCTGGATACAGCTGGTGGAACCGTGCGTCTCGACAGTGGGGCGTGAAGGGCCGAGCTCAGGGTGGCGCAGGCCTGAGGGAGCCCGCGGTGAACAACACTCTTCTTGGGTTTTGCTTTTTCTGCCCACGAGGGGTGACTTGTCTCCTGGGTGGGGAGCCCTGACAGAGTCACCGGAGAGCACAACAGGGAAAAAAGAAAAAAAATGAACCACTTACACCGTGAACTGAAATCCGAGAAAGGAAAAGAAGGAGCTGTTTCAGCTGTGGCGTTACACAACAAGCGAAACAAGTGGTGTGAACAGATTCAGATAAAGCGACCCAGGGCGCCACGGTCTGCCTCCCTTGCGAGAAACACAGCCTGGGCATCGCGGCTCCCTGGTGGAGCCCTTCCTACTTGTAGCTTCAGGATGTCGACTCAATGGAAACGCCATCAGACTTAAGTTTCTCCCAACCCTTTCCCCCACCTCGGCCCTTGAGAGAGGCCCATCTCTATTTTAGAAACCCAGGAGAGAATTCTTCAAAAGAGCGGTCCAGGGTTGATTCTGAAACTAAAAGGGGATGGAGGTGAATTTTGCTACATAACCATAAAGAAATTTCACAAAAATAGAATTCCATTGAGTACACACACACGCACACAGGCTTGTGCACACACACGTACACACACACACAAAGCCAACAATCAACAGGAAAAGTTCCCTTTTCTTTCTCAAAGGCTGATTTTTCGTAAGCCTCAACAGAAAACAGCCCCCCTGCATGGTGAGCGGAGAAGGCCAAGTCCCTTAGAAGGAAAAGAAAATCAGGCAGGTGATCTGTGTGGAGGCACCTGGGGGGTCGTAAGGCTTCTCTCTGTTCCTGGAGCCCCTCCGACTGCCAAACCTGTCTGCTAGGTGGTTAAGGCCATGGCACCCACTGACACGTACAATGTGTTGAAGGTTCAAGCTCCTCCACCCTCCACCCTTGCTCTCCTCTCTTGTCAGCTCATGTTCAGATGAGGTGAAAATCCTCTTTTAAGATACGAGGCAGTGGAGCACAGAGAGCCAAAAACCACAGCCCATTGCTGCCCGTGTGCCCACAATGGGGCTCCTCGGCTCCCTTCCTCAGCAAGCTCACCACCTGGGAGGCACTTTGCAAAGCTGCTCCAGTGAGCAGTGTTCTAAGCCTGCCCACTGGACGAGATAAAAGAACCCAAGTGGGGCAGGTCATCTAGCGCTGGGTCAGGTCCACACTGCACAAGTGTGCAGGAGGCCCCGTGCAGATGGGCCCCCGGAAATCCGCCCCCATCCCGGCTCCACCCTGACAAGACCTCATTTAGCTGTGCCGTGAAAACCGGTGACCACCTTGACAATAACAGCAGGCCTGCCACTCAGGATTCCTACAGGCATGCAAAGAGGAGAGGCCCAGGCTAAGAAGACACAGGGGTGCTGTCTGGGACCGCACCCTCCTGGTGAGGGGGTCTGTAAGATCACTGCACCCCTCCACCTGGGGAGGGACAAGGGAGTGGCCCCACCCTGCAGTGCCACGTCCTCCCAGAATCGAACTTTCTCTTTCTAGTAGCCAGAGTGAAAGAACCTAGAGGACCTCTGTCTGGTCAGGGAGGTGGGGTTGGGTCACCAGGATAGAGAGAGGAGGGAGCTGGGTGTGTGGGGTCACCCATGGCACCCCACCACTCCCTCCCCCATGAGACCCGGCGCTCACATCAGCACCGACTCCTGATGACAGGAATACTCCCCTTGTGCCCCGAAGACCTTGGAAAGCTCCCGCCTGCTGGCTCGGGGACCTCCTGGGTGTGTGTGGGGGCTGACCGGTTCATGTGTAATCTGCCTGAGATGGAGGCAGGGACAGGCTGGCGGACTTCAGAAAGCCCCACTCATTCCCTGCATTTCCCACTTGTCGTCAAAGGGCAACCGGCAGTAGGAAGGGAGCTGATGGCACAGAAAGATTTCACAGAAACACTTTCAGAGACTATGTGCCAGGCACGCTTTTTTTTTTTCTTTCAGACTGATTTTCGTATCCTCCAAAATCAGCGTTTTTAAGTCTCTTTTACGGGAGAAGAGATAGGAGGTGGGGTGAAAGGGAGTGTAAACAAATCAGAGCATTCACTGGAGGCAGCTGGCAGAGTGGCCCTGGGGGTCCCCGCACCCCGGCTGGGGACCCCAGGACAAGGGTCAAAGCTAGGGCCACCCCCCACCCCGCCCCGTCCGGCCAGACTCAGTGGGTCAGACTCCGAAACAAGAAAACTTCGGGGCAAGAAACAATTGTGTCTGTGCTAAGAGACATAGCTTTGTGGCCCTATAGCCGTGATACTGGTGAGCACCAAGAAAAATGGATTTAAGTAAATATCTCAAAACAAAACATGCATCGAGTTAACCCTCTGCTGGGACACACCCGCATACACACTCCCGCACGTGCGTGAGCCCACACACGTGAGACACACACACGCGCACGCGCGCGCCCTTCAATGCCTCATACAACCTAACAGCTTTAAATATTTAAAAAAACAGAATCGTGAACATTAAGTCAGCCAAAGGGCAGGAGAGGTAGGCCAAAGAAGCAGGAGGCCAATTTTATATCCCATGGAGCTAAAAAAAATAAAATAAAAAAAAAGACTCCCAACATGGGGTGGGGAGAAAGCTATTGATCTCAGAGAGGTCGTGGCTGGGCTGAGCTCCACGGCCGCCCACGCGGTTGACAAAGGCACAGGAACAGAGGCGAGGCTGACAGCAGGACCCTCTGCAAGCCCTCGTGGCCGGGAACGTCTCTGATCTTCCTTTTTTTTCCTTTCAAGCCTCGCGGTGCTCTTCCCCCTTGGAGGGAGACCTCGTGTCCACCCGGGGGAGGCTGCGCTCTCATCCCGCCTCCCAGTGGACACGCAGGGCTGGCTCAGCCTGTCTTGTGCCCACCCCTCAGGAAAGCCATCCGAGGACCTGTAAACACGTGTTCTGGGGAGGCAGAGGGGGCCGCCGGGGCGCTCCTGATGGGGCTGGTGCACAGATGAGGGAGTGGGTGACCAGTCGCAACCTGGGGCGGAGGCAGTGGCTCGGCTGGCCCCCCTGGGGAGGACCGCCCTCCATCCTCCATCAGCGGAGGCTGAGGTGGGGCTGCCCCCGGGGCACCTTCCACAGGTCTCCAAGAGCCAGTGGGAGCCTCCAAAAGGATCCAAACTTCAGCGGGCAGCCCGCAGCAGCTCCCGCCCCAGCTCTGCCGAGCCCAGCAGGACTCCTGGCCCGCCCCTTACTCAGGCAGGTCTCCATCTCCTGGCAGGGAGGACAGAGGTTGAAGGGGAAGCCTGCCGGCCTCTGAACTTCACAGCAGGACGTGAAAAGCACATTCTTTCAATGAGGAGGTAGCCCTGGGTGGGCTTCCTGAGTGTTAGACAGCATCCTTCTGCCTGGAACTGCTTCCGCAGACGCAGCGAGAGGAGGATTGGCCCGGGCCCCTCCTCTGAACCCTTCCAGGTGTAACTCCCACCTTTGGAAACAGCCTGCCGCACCCCCCCAGCCCTCCACCTGGACCAAAGCTGAATTTAGCTCCTGTCTGTCTGATCCGAGCTGCCTGGAGACAGCTCCGAGGCAGCTACCTTGGAGCTCCGTGTCGACCGGTCAATTTCTGCCTTCAAATGCAAGACACGGCAGATGCCAGGGTGCTGGCGTCTTTGGTCCAGGAGCTGGGATGGATGGGCTGGGGCTCCCAGCTGGACAATCCAGGTGAGGGGACCCGGTCGATGGCAGCACCACGGAGCCTGTTGTTTCACACACTGCACCCACAGGGCTAGCGGTGTCCATCAAGCACAGCTGTTCCTGGCTTGGAAGCAGGCAGGGCACGAGGGGGCAGGGCCTGGCTGAGCCCCCGCCATGTGATTCCCAGGTCAGCGCCACCATGACTGCCGCAACGCCAAGTAGAAACAGAAACACTTGAGAAACAGACCACAGCACCGCCCAGGGGACCTCCAAGACTGAAGCAGCGCCGCGTCCCTGGGGCTGCCGTTACCCTCTGGGGCACACAGGCCCACTGCTTTGCACACATGTGCTGTAGGGTTTCCCAGCCCTGCGAAGCCCCGAGCCGACATCCGCTCTATTAGGTCAGAGCCGGGGGAGGAAGCAGGAGGCCTTCCAACAGCCCAGGGGTGCCCGAGACGTGACAGGAGGGCATGTCCCAGACAGCAGCTGGGAAGGACCCTCACGCGTCCTAACTTGGGGAGCGGGCAAGGCCTCCACCTGCCCCGTCGGCTCCCTGCACTGCTGCCGCGGCCCCTCTCCCCATCCCCCCGACACCCCACCAGCAGGACAGGACAGGGAGGGGCGGTGTTCCCTTGTTTCCCTTCATCCGAGCTTCTCTGAGGCGAGGGGAGGTCAGTGACTGAGGTCGCTGAGTCAGAGTTCACAGCAAGGGGTTCCCAGAGCTGGGCTATTGCTGTTGGCAAGACCCAAACCTGCTTCAGACCTGAGCGCGGCATTTGGAGCGGCCGAGGCCACAGTCGCAGGGAGGCTAGGAGGCCCTGAAGCAGGAGAGGTGATGGCGCGGCCTCCTCTCCACAGGCGGAGAAGGGTCTCCTCGGCATCCCATGCGGCTGCGTGCCCACCAAGCGCTGCTAGGACTCCCCAGCTCTCTGGCTGATTCTAGTGACGGCCTCTGCTGCCTGCTCGGGCAGCTGGGACGGGTCTGTCAGGATGGACGTGGTGGTGCTCAGGTGCCGGAGAGTGTTCAGCACGGCTGCAAGAGAGAAGGGGGAGCCTGCAGACGTGGCCTGGGGAGGTTCAGCTCTGAGCCCCCGAGAGACAAAACACACCGTTACACGTGTACACCCTGAGGGGCGATCCTCAGGGCCCCCCAAAGCAGGAAGGGCACGAACCCCAGGGGAGCCTCTCTGCTGAGGTCTGGACACTCACACCTCTGCCTTTAAGATGATACCCCAATCCTATCTGCCACCCTACAGGAGAGTGGGGAACACCCTGAGCCGTTCCTGCTTGTTCCTGTGACCTGAATACACAGCTTTGATCCTTATTAGAAGAACTGAACATGAAAGTGTATCTGAAAACACCGGATACAAGGCCAGGTGAAGAGTAGGTGCTCAATAGACACGAGTTGGATCTGATCATCAGACGGACACACGGAGATGGCAGAAGGCCGAGGCGCGAGGCGAGCTCCCCCCCCTTCCCCCCGCAGGGCCTCACCCTCCTACCCCTGGTGTGTGCAGACCAACCACGGCGGGGCCTGGGTTTTCTGCGGCTGCGTCCGTGGTTAAGCCCCCCGAGGGCAGCCCCCACTCACTCGGCCTGAGGACGGGCAGGGAGCAGTGCTCGTCCAGCCAGGACAGCGCCGTCCGGTGCAGCTCGTCCAGGCTGCTGGTGGACACCACGCCCTGGAAGGACTCGAACAGCGGCTTGATGATGACGCTGAACTGCACAGCACTCAGGTTAAAGAAACCGTAAGCGAGCGCAGAGAGAGTGGAGTCCAGTCACAGGCATGCCCATGACCGACACCCCTCGGGACTGGCAGGGTGCTGTGCACAGCTGGGGAGCGATGTCCCTAACTGTCCCTGCGCCCAGCCTGATGCTGAGGAACCTGACACTGACCACAGAGGTTCCAACTTGTCCCCGCTCCACTCGGGGACCAGAGAACAGCGGACTGCAGCTGCTGTCTGCCGCCTCCTCCTGTAGAACCCACCCAGGGGTGCACACGGACGCCCCCCGCCCTCGCAGCTCTCCTCCCCCATGAATCCCTCCTCAGCCTGTCAGACCCAAGGCCGGGGGTGCGGCGGCCGACCCTGCATGTGCGCCCTGTCCACTCAGGGGCACAGCGGAGGCTGAGTGGGGACTGACAGGGCCAGAGCCAACCCCCATAAGGACTGTGCTGCCATCTGGAAGGCCAAGTGCTGGGAGGCCTGGGCCCCAGGGCCAGAGCCCAGCACCCAGGCATTCCTGCCTCGGTAACAGCTGTCAAGTGCATGCGGTATAAACCCAGGGAACAGCCTGGAGGGAACCAGCTTCAAATCCAGGCTCTGCCACACAGTCGCTCTGTGAGTCCCGGTTTTGGGTGGCAGGACGTAGCTGATGCTGGGACATGTCAGAGCAGATCCCACCTCCTGCCCACCTCACGGCTCCCACCAGCAGCTCCAGCCTCCTCTTCCCTTCTCAAGGACTCGGTAGCGCAAAGCAGGCTGGTTCCATGTCCCTGGGAAGCCCTCAGCCAGTACACTCACCGAGGACAGCCCTCTCCAACACTGCGGGCCTAGCCGGGCCCCTGTCTCTCTTGAGACAGAAACTAGCATTACCTGTCTTGACAAACTCAATGACGACCATTTAGAGAGCCTCTTTCTAAAGGAACCCAAGGGTCAGTGTCTGCTGTTTCAGGTCACGGGTTGGAGGGATGGGGGAATGAGCAAAGAAAACCCAAAGATACAATCCAGAACTTCCAATTCTGCAGGGTCCGGCTTTTCACATATTCGTCAAACATGTCTCGCATGTGATCAAACTGGCGCCGGGTGACGGGGACACCCGTGGCAGGGAGCAGCTGCTGGCAGGAGCTGAAATGACAGGAAGTCAGGGGAGCTCGGCAGGGCTGGGGGCCCAGCAGGCAGGCCCAAGATTGGGGGGGAAGACAAAAGCTGCAGGGCCAAGTAAGGGGACCTCTACCAGTCCCCCCACCCTCCCTCCCTGCCATTCGGGGTAGGATGAGCCGCACCCCCAACCCCCAGCCCCCACCCCCGCCCTCAGGCCCAGCCTCACAGGATGGTGGCGTTGAGCTCCTCGATCTCCTCACGCAGCCGCCGGGCCTCCTCCTGCATCTGACTGCGCTCCTGCTGCAACTTGGTGATGTACTCCACAGTCTTCTGCAGCGTGATGGCGTGGCTGGCCTGCGAGGGGGCTGGGTCAGGGTGCACAGCACACCAGGCGCCCCCAAGTGCCCATCCTGTTGGTCCCGCCCCAACCCACCCTCTCCCCCAACCCCCACAGCCACTCACCAGCTTGGTGTTGTTGGAGATCAAGCTGTTCAGGGTGTCGAAGCCCATCTTGATGTTGAAGCGCCTCTTCTGCTCGGCTGAGATGTGCTTCATCTGCCGGTTCTGCTGGGGAATCGGCCCATCACTGCGCCACAGGGCCCCCCTCCCCATCCCTACCCGCTGCTCAGATTCTCTATAGAGAGCTATGTGGAAGGAGGGGGCAAGAGGAAGCTAAGAGGCTCCAGGAGGAGCCAGGAGGGGACAAGAGGGGGCCAGAGAACCATGCCTACAGAACAGAGCATAGCCAAGGGCCTGGCGCTGCAGATCCGGCCCTTTCCGGCCACCCCCACACCTCAGACCCAGTTGTGACAGCTGCCACCCCCGCTCCACAGAGCTCGGGGCCACTGTCACCACAGGGCTGGGGGCAGGTGGCGCGGGGAGGAGCCAACATGCTCAAGGGCAAGGCGGTGAATGTCCCCATTTCAGGTGTGGGACACCTGTCAAGCCCATGGGTCTTCCCAGTATGTCTCCAGTAGGGACATAGTTGTCCCCATGGCCCCTGGATACGCTTCTCCCTGCCTCCCCAGCCTTCTGAGGGAATCAAGACCTGAGAGATACCTTTAAAACAGCCACGTTTTTGGGGTCTGCAGGCGATTTCCCTGAGCAGTTGTTCTGGGGGGACTGAGGACTGGGACTCTGCTCAGACGTGCACGGAGAAGCCTGCCCTGAGTTCGGGCAGTCCCGACCTGGGAAGAGCAGAGATTCCCCTTAGGGGCCAGGCTGTGCCAGCAGTGCAGGGACTCACCCACAAAGGGAAACCCGCCCTCGACCTCCCATGGCAGCCCATCAGAGCAAGAACTAGGCGAATCCTTGCCAGCATCTCGGGGACAGGGGGCAGCGGGGCAGTCCTGGCTAGGCCTGCCGGGTGCAGCGGTCACAGGTCTGGGAGAGGAGAGAGGCCCGCCTCCCAGGGCACCAGGGGCCCCTCCACGTCTGCACGGCTCTGGTGCTCACCCTGGGTGGCAAGCACTTAAGCTATCTGTTCTTTGAACTCTACGTGTGTGTTTTTTTATACTTCTTTCAATTTTACCCACCCCAGAAATCTTTTAACTAGGAAAACAAATGAACTCGGTGGAGGAAACGTGTGGCCCCGGCTCAGGAGCTGCGCCCAAGAAGCCCCTTCCGGGCCCGCCTCCCAGCATGGACCACGGATGCCTGAGGCTGTCCCCCGACACTGCTCTCCTCCCTGCCCTGCTCTCAGGCCTCCCAGCATGGACCACGGATGCCTGAGGCTGTCCTCCGACACTGCTCTCCTCCCTGCCCTGCTCTCAGGCCTCCCAGCATGGACCACGGATGCCTGAGGCTGTCCCCCGACACTGCTCTCCTCCCTGCCCTGCTCTCAGGCCTCCCAGCATGGACCACGGATGCCTGAGGCTGTCCCCCGACACTGCTCTCCTCCCTGCCCTGCTCTCAGGCCTCCCAGCATGGACCACGGATGCCTGAGGCTGTCCCCCGACACTGCTCTCCTCCCTGCCCTGCTCTCAGGCCTCCCAGCATGGACCACAGATGCCTGAGGCTGTCCCCCGACACTGCTCTCCTCCCTGCCCTGCTCTCAGGCCTCCCAGCATGGACCACGGATGCCTGAGGCTGTCCCCCGACACTGCTCTCCTCCCTGCCCTGCTCTCAGGCCTCCCAGCATGGACCACGGATGCCTGAGGCTGTCCCCCGACACTGCTCTCCTCCCTGCCCTGCTCTCAGGCCTCCCAGCATGGACCACGGATGCCTGAGGCTGTCCCCCGACACTGCTCTCCTCCCTGCCCTGCTCTCAGGCCTCCCAGCATGGACCACGGATGCCTGAGGCTGTCCCCCGACACTGCTCTCCTCCCTGCCCTGCTCTCAGGCCTCCCAGCATGGACCACGGATGCCTGAGGCTGTCCCCCGACACTGCTCTCCTCCCTGCCCTGCTCTCAGGCCTCCCAGCATGGCTCTCACCTTTGGGGATCCGCCTCAGTGGACGAGGCGACGTCTCCCCGAGCCCCCACGTGGCATTTCAGGGCCCAATCGATAGCCAGTCCGTGTCTATATTTTCCCACACGAGAGTCCTCATTCTTTAAAACCTGTCCTTGGACGAGTCCCTGTCTGACCCCTGTAAGCAGAGAGCTAGCTCCCCTCTCATCATGTTCTCCTCTCCACTTCAGAAAGATGCTTCTGCAGAGGGCTCTGGAAGCAGCTGCCCTGGTTTTATCTAAGACAGGAAGACACTCTGGTCTCCCTCCCCAAGGTGGTATCTAGCTCCACCCCTCCCCAACGCCCCACCCGCCCCCACCAGCAGCAGTCTTAGGAACATCATTTCCCAGACCTCTCAGACCTCACTGGGCAACATCAGTCCTACCCCAGCCGTCTCACCAACCGAAGTCCAGGCCGGGGAGGAAGGAAGGGTACTCCTGAGGTATGCTGCCAGCACACAGGCCAGGGACAACCAGCCAAACCCAGACAGGCTGGGGGCTCCCGCAGCCACAGCAACCGCAGGCTCGCGGTTTCTGAAAACTGTTGATGACCGCTCAATCCCTTTTGTGGATCAGGACTGGCAGCTCACGGCCAGGTCTTTTTTTTTATTTTTTAAAACCTTTTTTGGCCACATTGCACGACATGTAGGATCTTAGTTCCCTGACCAGGGATTGAACGAATACTCTCTGCAGTGGCAGAGCAGAGTCTTGACCCCCGGACAACCAGGGACGTCCCCATCAGAGCCAGGCCCTTTTGAAGGAGGCTGAGCAGTGTCCCCGTGAACACACAAGCTGCCAGAACCACAAGGCGCTGGTGGCTTTCCCTCACTGATCCTGTGCTTAGCCTGGGCCACTGGCAGCTTCGGATCCCTCACTGCCTGGCCTGGCAGCCCAGGCTCCGCCCGGGTACCCTCAGCAGCCTCCCCAGTCCCGCAGCAGGCCCCCTACTCCACTCACGCGGTCCCAAGCGGTCCAAGCGGAGAGCTGAGTCACTGGCGCCCGCGGCAGGGACCTGGGCAATGCCCCCGTGCAGCGGGCCCTGCTCGCCCTTCACCAGGGAGTCGGGCACTGTGCTAGGAGGGAAGAGCCGGGACACGGGGGCGTGCTGGCTGCCCGGGCCAGGGCCGAGGTCCGTCACCAGGATGCCGCTGGGGAACTCTGTGACTCCAGGAGCCTAAGGGGACACGGAGAAGGAAGGTCACCCCCGAGTACAGTTAGGCCAGGTGAGGGCCACCTGAGGTCATAAGATGTTGAAGGCCTGTCCCGGCCACTCACCCTGGTGAGGGCAGCAGGCGTGAGGACCACGCTGGACTGGGACACGGTGGAAGCCAGCATTCCTTCTCTCTTCAGAGGGCCAGATGTCATGATCACTGCCTGCGGCTGTCCTGGGAAGGCAGCTGCCAGAACAAGGGGAGGTGAGGGTGGAGGCCCAGCTATGCGCCTGCTGCCTGACACGGGTACTGAACCTGGACCAGCCAGGCTGCACGGGGGCTGGGGGGTGGGGAGCCTCAGGAGCAGCACACGACCCCTCTACTGACACTGAGACGCTGCCCCCTCACTGTAGGGCATGGAGAGACGATGCTAGATTTTTGCAACTTCTCCTTAGTGGGGACAGATTACAGACCCAGGCAAGAGAAGACCAGGGCTACGGTTTTTTCCATGCTGGGCTGAGACTGGAAGAACACCATAGAATAGAAAACAGACTGAATCTACATACATCGCCTTTCACAACCCTTCTGCTTCCAAGATCACGTTGTGTGTGTGTCACGAGCTTGCCAGCCTTGGGGACAGGAAACGTCCCGGGGGTGGGGGTGGGGGGTCACACTTGCCTCCCGCGCACCTGGCTCACCTGGGGCGAGGCAAGCATTCTTCAACACCACGGACACCGGCTCTGGTTTGGGAGCAGGCACTATTTTGGGGGGCTGCTTGTGCCTCCCCCCAGACAAGGAGACGGGCTTGGGATGCACGAAAGTCATACGGGGTTGGGGAGGCCCGGCGGTTGGCGGCCGGGTGACAGGAGACAGTGCCAGGCCATAGGGGGACCCAGAGGGGGGCGGATAGCGCGTGGTGATAATGAGGCCCTGGCTCTGGCTGAAGGTGGTGGCAGCAGCGTCGTGGGTGAGGGTGGCGGAGGCTGTGTGGGTGATGACGGAGGGCGACTTGCTGACTTCAGCAAACTTCTGGGGCTGCAGGAAGGCGGGGGGAGTTGGGGGGTTCAGGGCAGTGGCGGGAGGGGGGCCTAATGGCAAGACGGGGGAAGGAGGTGGCGGGGCGGGGCTGGGCGAGAGCAAGGGCATGGTGAACACGGGCAGGAAAGGCTGGGGGACGCTCAGGGGCGGTGCCGAGGGACCCAGGTCTGCCGGCTGGATGAAGGGGTCCCCAGGCTGGGGCGGGTGTTCACAGCCCTGCCCACTCGTGGGGTCTAGGGCAGCGGCTGCGGGGGGTGCGATGAAGCTGTCGGGAAGGCTTGCAGTGGGGAGAGCAGTGGTTGGCAGGATGCTCTCCTGAGGAAGGAAGGGAAGAAGTGAGCAATGAATGCTAAAGTCACACAGCTCGCCGCCACTCTCCAGCGCTACACGCCACGGAGCCCAACACGTACACTGTGCGCCTAGGATGCAGCCCCGGGCAGAAGGGACAGAGGCAACGTCTCCCAGCCCCGGGACTCCTAATCTGGGGGAGATGGAGCTGGGTCCCCCCGGGCGCCAGCAGGGGTCTTGTTTCCTTTGGGGACTCAGTGATAACACAGGGCTCAGACACAGTGACTGTCTGCACACACTTGGCTCACAGCCTGGGGATATCCTGTTTCTGGAGTCCGGAGGGGTCCCCCCAAAGTCCCTGCCATCTTCTGTTACAGAGTAGGGGCAGCCTGGCTCGCAGCTGCTCAGGAGGCTCCCCCAGGACACTGTCTCGTATCAACTTCTAGGGAGGTCACCTCCTCCTAAAAGGGAAAGGCTATAAGGAATCAATTGTTCGGGTCTTAGTCACTATAGAAGCAGCTCTTCCCCAAGCCAGATGGAAGAAGCAGGGGCCAGGGCACACTAACTGGATACTAACTGAGAGTCTCTTAAGGGCAACGAGCCGTGCCTCCCTCAGCTCAGCGGCCCCAGCACCTGGCAGCCAACTTGTGCTGAGTGCGTAGCAAAAAGGAAAAGGAATACAAGGAATTTCTCAGCAACCACATTTTTCTTTGCTATCTCACTGGTCCTTTCTTTTTCAAAAAAATTTATTTATTTTTAATTGAAAGATAATTTCACTGGTCCTTTCTTAACTGGTCAAGACGGAGCTCGCCACACACAGGTTATCTGGGGGCTTAGCGGGGAGCATACATTTACTGAGAGAGTCTCCCACCTCATGGACACCTCCGGATGCTCTCTAGGAGGGCTAGAATAACTTCTTTACACGTTATATGTGAGTCCAGCACCGGATCGAGTGACCCCTAGCACTTCACTGCAGAGGTCTGATGACTGGAAGCCCGGTGCCGTTTCCCTTTCCCCAAGTTCCCTCTACCTGAGCAGGTGGGCTGTTGGGGTCTGGTGCAGGCGTTGAGGCGGGTGCAGGCAGCATGGAGCCAAAAATGGAGCGGCTGGAAGAGAAAAGGTCTGAAAGACAACATCGGGGGCCTGTGAGCTCTGTGCCTGTCATTTCACTGAATTAAGATCCAAACAAACTGGGCACTGAACCCCACCTTACCCAGAGGAATGCCAAGGCTAGAGGGCACCCCTCCACCCCCACTGAGGGAACTCTGCTGAAACAGGGCCTCTGATTGGAGTTGTACATGCTGGCAACCAGTGTGGGCTCTGAAACACCCCTAGGCCTCGGTGGCACCTGCATTTAATGATGGTGGGAGCTCAAGGATCATTTCTAACAGCAGGAAACTGCAAGGCGGCAGCTGTGTCGCCGGCGCCCTCTGCTGCCTAGAGGGAGAACTGCTTGCAGTCAAGGCCAAACCTGAGGCTCTGGGACGTGGAGGATGAGAAACACTGTCCAGGCCTGTAGCTACTACCAAACAAAAAAAAAGAAAGTTTTGGACGAATTCTAAGTCCTCTCCCTGGCCCATTCTAACAGTTCCCCTCTATGAAAGGGAAGCCCAATCTACTCTGTCCTGGGCAAAGGGAGATGCGGGTAGCCAAGCTCTCTCTCTGCCCCAAGTCCTCACCCTGGAAGGGCTCGAAGGTGTCCATGAAGTCCAGGTTGGGCTGCAAAGGGATCAGGCCAGGTTGAATCATGTCTGCGTTCCCCAGGTGCGCTGTGAGCATAAGAGGAGACGGGGACCGTTTGGCCTTCCCAGTCCACGTTGTGGGAGTGTGTCAGGGGCCCAGACTGGATCCTCCTGGCCTTGCTCGCATTCTCCTGGGAACAGGGGGAACGTGGGCCACTGGCTAGGATTTCTCTGGGGGGTTCATGGGCATTTTCCACCCTCAGAGGATGGGGAAGGAAGTGAGTTTTCAGGGGAAAAGGTAAAATGAGTATCTGGAAGCAGACACTCCACTGTGAACAGCTCTGCAGAGACCCCTCGGTGCTGACTTAAGTACGTGGGCTCCTCCTGGAGGGTTAACTGGATAGCTGCATGCTCCCAGGTGAGAGGCCAAATGATTGGAGTGCAAATGATTTTCTCGAGAGTGAGTCTCAGGCCCTGGCACTGGCCCAGGCCCATGTCCTCAGCTGAGGGGACAGGATCAGAAATGTGAAGTTCGTTCAGACCAAACCCCCCACTGTTCCCTGGCAGGGGCACCATGGACCCGATGGGGCCCCCACACAGCAAGGAGGAGCCACCCTTGGGGCGGGTTACCTATTTCACGTGGATTGGGCCAGGCCACGGGCGGGTGGGAGGAGAGTGTGGAGAAGAGGGTGTCGCTGAATTCCGACATGAGCATGTCCGTGTCCAGCAGCGTGTCCTCCTCCATGGGGACTGGTGTCTTCCAGCCATCCCGGTGCTTGTGCCAGTAAAGCATGTCATCATCCTACCACCAACGGGGGAAGGAAAAGCCAAATGGGCACCAGTGACTCGCAAGTTCTCTGTCAAGTCACGTTGAGGAGATATGTGGCCCAGTTTCTCAAAGCAGCAAGGGCTGCCAGGTAAGAGATGAGGCCAGGGGACAGGGACCTGCAGAGAACTGGCTTCTTTCCTTTATGTCCCTCTTCTGGCCCCAGGGAGAGTCCATGTCCCCAACCACATTCTGTTGTGGTGCTGGCCACCCATGTCACTGCTGTTTCTTGTAAAGGGGGAGGTCCCGTGAGGGTCCTCATGGCCCCCACCCTCGCTTACCTGGGCCAGGCTGGAAAGGTCCTCATCCTTGTGCTGCTGGAGCTGCGGAGAAAGGAGAGAGGGACAAGGTGGTCCCCCAAGGCCCAGAGAGGGGACAAGGCCCTCAGCCTCTCTTCCCTGGAAGAGGATCACTTTCAGAAGCATCTAGACCTTCTCTCTCTAGAAGGAAGGTGGCAAGAAAGATCCTACCCCTGCCATCCCCAGGCCGAAGCTGGGCTCCGAGATTCCTGACCAGCGTTTGTGGAATAAACAGCCTCAGCTCCAAGATGGACAGACAGAACAAAGGTCACACAACCAATGCAGGTCACCACTCGGGCTGGGCTAGAAAGGGGCTTCAGGGGCAATGGTGGAGGGTGGTGGGCAATGGGTTGACAGCTCTGAGCCAGAGTCTCAGGGGTCAGTGTACTGAGTAAATATGGGCTGGAAGTCCTTTTCAAATGTATTGGCTGCACCAAGTCTTAGTTGTGGCATGTAGAATCTATATGGTTCCCTGACCAGGGATTGAACCCAGGTCTCCTGCCTGGGGAGCACTGCGTCTTAGCCACTGGACCACCAGGGAAGTTTCCAGATACCCTTTTCTTGAAGTAGGTTCTCCACTTGTGATACTCCCGGATCACAATCTCTATGCGGCTTTTCCAGTACTTTCCTTCTGTGGTGATGGCCTGTGGGAGAGACGCGGGGCACAGGGAAGAGGTGGTGTTGGGTTTTATTCACAGAGCTCACCCTGCCAGCAAACAAGCATCTGGCTCCAGAAGTCAGGCCCGGGCAATCCAGCTCTGAGTCACTAGCCGCTTGCCTGCGGCTTCATCCACAGGGTGTGTCGGCCTCTGCTGGGCCATGTCCAGCCTCCCGAGTGAAGGTGAGCTTTTACTAGGTTATCTTACCCCCCAAAGATAACCTAGGGGGCTTTGAGGGCCCAGGGTCCAGAGGCTGGACTGGAGTAGGGCTCAGACAAAGTACTCGGCAGGGCAGAAGTGCAGAGACCCCGGAGCTAGAGGAATCGCCAGAGACTCGGGCTGGCTCTCAAATGCCCTGAGGCTCTGCCACATTTCCAAAGGGTGAAAACAAACAGAAGGTTCAGGCAGAAAGTGACCTCCAAGGTCCAGCTCAACCTCCCCACCATGCAGGGCGGGAGCCCCTTCCATGGTTATCTCTGAATTCTGGTGACCAGGGATCATGACAGCCTCAGAGAGACCACCTCACTTTCACATTCTTTTCTTTTGATGGCTGCAGAATATTAAAGCAAGTCCCAGACATCCTATCATAAGTGTCATATAATTTCACCTAAAATATTTCACTGTGTGTCTCAGACAGTGAAGAATCTCCACAGTGACTAATACAATACTTTTACCAGACCTGAAAAGTGACGAGATTCTTTACTACCGTCTGATACCAGATCGTGTCCCTTGGCTCCAAGCTGTCTTGTGTTAGGTTACTTTTCAAATTTTCCCTTTTCATCATAACAGTAAGACAAGCTTGGACGAAACTAAAACAATACAGAAGAGTAGAAAGTGAAAGTGGAGTCTTCTCTCCTCACACTAATCCCACAAGTAAGAGTTCTGTATATCCTTTGGGACATTTCCTATGCATGTATAATCACAGATACATGCTGCAAAAAATTAACCTGAAGATACTAAAATACTGTTGGGCAACTTGCTTCTTTTCATTTACTATGTCTTCACCATCTTTCCCTCGCAGTATATAAAGACTGGCTAAAGATGTCTGCCTTGTCCCCCCACCACCTCCCCAGCTGACCTCCAGTGAAGCACCGACATTAAAGGAAAGCAGAGGGTAAGTCTTGTTTGGAGGAAGCCCCAAGTCCTTGGTGCAGCCTGGCCTGAGAAGGGGGAGCCTCTGCAGGGTGCCGGGGCCACGTGCCCCTACATCGCCGTCACAGCTCACAGTGTGACAGCCACCAGGTCGGAGCATCCCAAGGGCTCTGCCCCGCAGCCTTCCTCTGTGGGGGTCCAGCCCTCGGGCCCGTCCCCGTGAGTCACCTCCTTCTCCCGAGTGAGGGCCCATCACCTGCCAAGTACCTCTGGACGGCGGTGCTCGTCCACATCCACAGAGCCGTCCAGTGGAGTGACAAAGTGGCACACAGGGTTCTTGCGCTTCTCCAAATCTGGGCGGGGAGAGGGTGGGACACTGTCACTGAGGAGCCCTGCCCCTGGGGAGGATCCTGAAGTGTCCTCCTTCTCTTGGAAAATAAGATTCGGGGAAATAAAGGGTCCAGGTCAAAGGAAAAGACTCTCTCAGTGATGTGAGGGTGAGAAAGGGAGTCTGCCTGATCAAGAGGAAACACCATCCTGAGCCTAGGGGACCCCCAGCACGCCAGTCTCCTGCAGGAATCACCAGACCCCCCAGCACCCACGCCAGCCGGACACAGGCCATGGCCAGGCCTGCACCTTCTCAGACCCGCTGAAAATGGGGACTGTTCCTCGACTCTCTGAATGTCACCCCTCAGCTGTACACCCATCCCTTCTCCTCTGCCTTACAACACTGAGCCTCCTGTGGACGCTTGGATTTGGTTTGGTTCTCCTCTCTCCACAGACTGTCCGAGAGAGACTTCTGTTTGACACACAAGGTTCCAAGACGGCTCCGGGCCCCAAGGTGCACAGGCCTCTCAGTGGCAGAACCTGCAGGATCGTTGGTCCAGCGACAAGACACTCACACTGCATGTACCAGGCCCGCCAGATGGCGTTGTTGAGCCGGATCTTGTCTCTCCACTGGAGCTTCAGGCCCTTGAAATTCTTCCACTTCGGAGACACCAACTTCCCACTGAAAGGTAAAATGAGGAGGGGGACACTCAGTGGTTTCTCTGACAATTAAATGTGCCACTCTACCATCCCAGGCCTCAAAATTCTGGATTAATCCGTGCAAGCCACAGGCTAGGCTCAATAGGATATATAGTCACTTTCACTATCCCATTTTGTCGACTTTTGCATATCTTCAAATTTTTCCACAATTAAAAGCTAAAAATCTGTGGATTTTGCCTTATATGTGTATCAAATCACCATGTTGTACACCTTAAACTTAATGTTACATGTCAATTTTATTTCAACAAAGTTGGGGGGAGGAAAAAAGAAATCTGCTGACCACTGAAGGAAAGCCAGGCTCCTTGAACCTGCTCTCGACCACCAGTCCTCAGGAGGCACTGACAATCCAGGCACACAAATGTCCCACCGGCCCTAGAACCCGCAGGGCCCTCTCCTGCCTCAAGGCCCCCATTCTTCACGGAGCTCCCTCCGCCCATGGCCAGCTGCTCATCCTTCCAAATGATGCTCAGACACCATCTCCTCCGAGCCGGCACTGGCCTCTCCCAGGATGCTGCCAGTCCCTTCAGGATCTCTGAGCGCTGTTCACACCTCAACGACACACTCATCCACTCCCCATATGGCAATGTGTCTCCGCACCTCCGGCCACCAGACTGCAGCTTCTCAGGGGAGGGCCCTTCCAGTATTCTCACCCTAACCACCCAGCACCGAACTTGGCACAGAGCAGGAGCTCGTGTAATAATTCTTCACTGAATGAGTTAAAGGGCCTTTGCCAACAAAGCTAATGGCAGGCAAGGAACGCTCCCTGGTGGTACAGCCGGCTCAGATGGTTTAGTTTTCCATGGGCTGTGCCAGGAGCCACCTCTGAGCCGCTGGCATAGGGCTTCCCCTCTCCAGATGGCTAAGATGGGCAAGGCACTCTTTCTGGTCCGTACCAAAGGGGGTTCTGTGAGTTCCACATCACTGCAGGCCACAGCCCTGCTCCCTTCTCCAAAGCTACTCAGAGAGGCCATGTGACAAGCAGAGATGTGCCAGGAGTCACAACAGCTGGGGTCTTCAAAGAGAGTGGCTAAGTAATAAACACTCCCCAAACCTGAACACCTGGTTTCTTCATCAGAAGCCCCTGGCAAATCTCATGCCCCATCCTCCAACCCAGCACCGGGCCAGGCTATGGATTGTAGGAGAGAAGGCTGAGACTCCCACAGAGAAAACATCACAGCAAGTCCTCTGAGAACTGGAGGGACAGACAGACAGCAGCAGCCTCAGCTCAAAGGGTCAGGGGCTTCACACCAGTCACATGCCTTTCTGCCCCTGCTCCCCCAGTCCAAAGACACTTCAACCTCAGCTGTCACCCACATTCAACAGCCAGCAGCCTGGTGTTTCTGAGTCTCTGTGGTGCAATTGCATACTAGAAGTGAACTATTAAAGCCACGTAACTCCTCTGACATGTCAGTTTCCTAGGTAAAATCACAATAATACCACTGCCTCCAGAGTGTTTTAAGAAGGATTAAATGTACACACACGCAGCCACATTCTTAAGACACACAGCAGAGGTAACCCTAAAGAAAATTAAAAAAAAAAAAAAAACCCACAAAACTAACCAGCAGGCTTAAATATAAACCCACCCTTACTCCTGCTTTGTTACGTAAGATGTAGTAGCTGATGTGAGCATAATAAGAGCGTCTTAGAGAAGTCAGATGACACCGACCTCTTCAATTACTTACCATGAAACGGGTGGGAAGATTCAGAGAGAGGTCAGACCCTGGAGGCTAGAAACCCACTCTGATAAAGTAACTTTCAGGTTCTCATCTTCTTCCCCCCAAACTGCTGGATGTCTGCCTCTTCCTGCCTAGGGATGTTCACTCCTTATGTCCAACGGCTATCACCCATCACCCCAGGCTTCTGTAATACCTCAACAGTCGACAGGCGGCGCTCGGCTGACGTGAACAAGCAAGTCTGAAACCAAAACTAAAACCTAAACAGCCCAGAGAGGTGGAGAGGGTGAAAGCAGAGGCGATGGTTGATGGACACTCACCCACACACCGCAACTTGACTGGACACGCAAAGTGTTAGAAAAATGCGGGACACACATCTAGATGTTTCCTTACTGAAAGGGCTTCTCCCGCCTTTGCTGTGATGTCACTGTTAACCTTCGATGAGGGCAGGAGACATTCCCTATGCAGACACCCACAGACAAGGACAGGGAGCCTTTCTGTGGAGGCACCCCAAGTCTAGTTTCCCACGGAACATACAAGAGAGGCTGCTCTAAGGAGTTCTAACGGGCAGCTCCTTGGCAGGGATCCTTAGAGCAGGATTCCCACAAAACATCCACCGTCAGACTCCCCCCAAACCCACCCCAGCTTAACTCGGCTTCCAGACACGGCTGGGTGGGATGCTTCTTTGCCTAGCTCAGGGTTCTGCCATACTCCTTCTTTAAAGTGCAGCCAGAAACACATTAGTAAAATCTCCGAGGCATTCTCTGGTAGTCCAGCAGCTAAGACTGTTCTCCCAACACAGGGGCCCAGGTTTGATCCCTGGTCAGGGAACTAGATCCCACATGCCCGCAATGGAGATCAAAGATCCCACGTGCCACAACTAATACCTGGCACAAACAAATAAAATTTTAAAATGTAAAAAAGAAAAAAGACTCCGAGATTACTGGCTTCCCCCTCCATAAACAAAAGACCTCCTCGTGCCTGACCTCCCAACCCTGCCTTCTTAAACATCACCCCCCGACACCAACACCCGGGCTTCCTGGTTAGAACAGGGACCCTGGATTCACCCCTTACTCTCCCAATCTGACTCTGGGAAGGCCAGGGTCTGGGTCTGACTCATCCGAGCACAGTGCCTGGCATGTGGGAGGTGTGATTAAATATGGAATGACTAAGTGAAAGCTAAACTTTTCCATAAAGAAAAGTCTTCACACACCCACTACCACAGCCATCCTTCCTAGAAGACAGGTTCATGACACGGGGTAGGAAGTCTACAGCACAACAAACTCTCTCTCAAACTGCTGCTGAGTGGAATGGCAAACTGAATTCTCTGGCAGTCTGGCAAGAGACTGCTTTGGAATGAAAAGTAAAATGCAAGTCTTGCACAGACAGGAGCTGGCATTAAGAACGGGTAAGGATGAAACTGAGGTGGGGATTTGGGGTTCTGCTGGTTCCAAGGAAGATGAGCTTTGAACTGGTCAGAGCATTCTTTGAAAAAGAAAGCAGGCCAGGGCTCCGAGATCTACTGCTGTGGGGCCCAGACAATGGTGGAGTCCATTCATTTGGTCATGCAACCATATTTGCTTGTAAGGTATTATTTCTTCACCATTCCTCATGCTTCCTGCAATCCCACCAGCAAAATGTTCCCAGGCCTATACAACCCAAAACCCACAGACTTAAAGCAATACCTATCAAAATACCCATGACATTTTTCACAGAACTAGAATAATCTTAAAAATTTAAATGGAACCATAAAAGACCCAGTTCTGCAAAGGCAACCTTGAGGAATAAGAACAAAGCAGGAAGCAAAACCCTCCCAGACTTCAGATAATACTTCAAAGCTACAGTAATCAAAACAGCATGGTATTGGCACAAAAAGAGACCTATGGATCAATGGAACAAAAGAGAGCCCAGAAATAAACCCATACACCCATGGGCAATTAACCTTCAACAAAGGAGGCAAGAATGCACAAGGGGGAAAAGACAGCCTCTTCAGCAAGTGGTGCTGGGAAAGTCAGACAGTCGCATATAAATCAATGAAAATATAACACTCCCTCACACCACACACAAAAATTAATTCAAAAATGGCTTAAAGACTTAAATATAAGACATCATAAGATTCCTAAAAGAGCACATAGGCAGAACATTCTCTGACAAAAATCATACCAATGTTTTCTGAGGTCAGTCTCCCAAGGCAATAGAAATAAAAGCAAAAATAAATAAATGGGACCTAATCAAACTTACAAGCTTTTGCACAGTAAAGGAAACCATAAACAAAACAAAAAGACAACTTAAGGACTGGGAGAAAATATCTGCAAATGAGGTAACCGATAAGGGCTTAACTTCCAAAATATACAAATAGCTCCTACAATTTAATAACAAAAAAACACAAACAACCTAATTAAAAAATGGGCAGAAGATCTAAATAGACATTGCTCAAAAAAAAAGACATATAGATGGCCATTAGGCACATGAAAAGACGCTCATCATCATTAATTATTAGAGAAATGAGAATAAAAACTACAATAAGGTATCACCCCACACCAGTCAAAACGGTCATCATTAAAAAGTCTGCAAATAATAAATGCTGGAGAGGATGTGGAGAAAAGGGAACCTGAGTACACGGTTGGTAGGAATGTAAATTGGCACAGTCACTATGTAAAACAGTATGGAGGTTCCTCAAAAAACAAACTAAAAATAGAGTTGCCACATGATGTGCCAATCCCACTCCTGGGCATACACCGATAGAAAACTATCATTTGAAAAGACACATGCACGCCAGTGTTCACAGCAGCACTATTTATAATAGCCAAGACATAGAAATAACCTAAATGTCCATCAACAGATAAATGGATAAAGGAGATGTGGTACATACACACAATGGAATATTACTCAGCTATTAAAATGTCATTTTCGGCAACATGGATACAAATAGAGATCATCACACTAAGCAAAGTAAGTCAGAAAGAGAAAGACGAATACCATATGATATCACTTATATGTGGAATCTAAAATACAATACAAATGAACATATCCATGAAAGAATAACAGACTCACATAGAACAGATGTGTGGTTGCCATGGGGGAAGCAGAGTGGAGGAGAGAAGGACTTGGAGTCTGGGATTAGCAGACGCAAACTAGTATATATAGGATGGATAAACAAGATCCTACTGTATAGCACAGGGGACTATATTGAATATCCTGTGATAAACCATAATGGAAAAGAATATGAAAAAGAATACATATATATGTGTGTATGTGCGTATATATAACCGAGTCGCTTTGCTATATA